AGCTTTGATATGTAATAATTCAATCATGTTGCCTTATATTGTTGCATATTAGGTTAAAGGCTCAAAAACATAGGATTTCTTCCTTGGTTTTCTTCTCCCCCAGTATCCAGAGAAAGCAATGTTTCTTAAGTGTACTTTTCCATAAATTAGTTCAGAGCTCTTTAAACTTATCTGTATTTTTCAGTAATGTCTGGTTTTGAGACATGCCCCTGTGGTACTCTAAAATACTAAATTAAAATAAAAATACTCATTAATAGAGATACTATCCTACTCCCCATCTTGTCCAATACATCATCATCAAACAGTGCCTCAGAGGAAGGTACTGTAAGACAGACATGATAAAGTACTTCAGAAAAGCTCCTTATTCTGTTTTCTATAAAAAAATTTGAAGGTTGTAACCACAGTTCAAGATAAGTAGTTCTTATACGAAGTTCAATGTACATTTAGATTGTTGTAGTAGGAAGATATAAGAAGACTCAAATGACTAGCTTATTGATGTTTATGCAAACAAAAGGCTTATTTCATAAACAACATTTATGCCTTTAGAAATACATAAACTTAACATAAGGAAATGCATCCACTATATAAGTACTACATCTGTGCTACTGTTTATTTATAAACAAATAATACTTAATAAAACAATTCTCTATAATGTGGTCTTCTGTCAGAGCTCTGCATTGGCAGACAAGATTTTAAATTCAATTCTAAGCTTTCAGGCTGTAGATTTTGAAGGGTTTCCATGAAGAGTTTAATTATTTCAACGAGACCTCACTGAATTATGGTGGGAAAAATAATCAGTTCTTAAGATTTCAGTAAGAACTATGGAGAACACTACAACTACATGTACTTCAGGTTTTTGGGCTAGGCTTTTTCTTCTTCTTTTTGGGGGTTTTATTTTTTGTTTTGGATACGCTGGGTTTGTATGGTTTTATTTTGGTTATTTGGCTGGTATGTGGGTTTTCTTTCTTTAAATACAAAGGGATGTCTTATCAGTTTCTGGAGTTGAAAGTAATGCATTTACAGATTGTTTTACTATTTTCTAGGCACTGCACTAAACTGCATTATTTCAGCCGTCTGAAAGTTCTATGTACCACTGTCTTCAGAGTGTGAAAGCATCAAAACTGGTCATAATTACATCTTTTAAGCATTCTCTCTATAGTTTCATACGACAACTAATGATTCAGGTGTGCTAGGAAGTACCAGTTTTAACGCTGCAACAGACTTCTGCCAATTTATCTATTATAAACCCTGAAAAAGCACATTATTTGATAATACCATGGTCACTATGCACACATCACTGGTAAAATGCCTGTATTGCACATCTGGCTGACAGGTGACAAAAATGTCAATTAATATTTGTTACTTTTGCTATGTTTGCATCTGAAAGCCAGTCTAAAAATATTGCAAGAAGTGAAGGTTACTCAAGCAGAAATCAAAGACAAAACTAACACTTTTTGCTACCAGAGCCAAAGAAGGTCTTTCATTCAAAAAATTTGCTCTAAGCAGCTTCATCCCCATATCCTTGGCTAGGCAAAGCAAGATAACAAATGTTAAGATATATTACCTTCAGATGGCAACAAAGAACCAACTGTTAGACATATCATTTTACACTTCTTAATAATTTATTCACACATTTATTTAAAACTGCTTATGTTCACATATCCCACAAGATAGCTGGGAGGTACCCTATTTTGTTAGGCAAACATAATTTACTCTTCCATCACTCCCACTACATGTTTACAATGACTTTCACAAATATCTTATCATGATCCTAGTATCAGAACCCTGCAACCTCAAAATGAGAAGGCCTACCAAAATAACCTTGTCATCCCATATAAACACACCCCAATTCAACAAATCATCACACTACCACACATTATGGCATTGTTAAGTAGCAAAACACAGACAAGCCTTTCCTTGACAAAGGCTCCCCCTTCCACTCCTGATATACCCCCTACTAAAACATCCCAACCCAATTCATCTTTAGGCTCAATTCTGTTCTAAAATCCATGGATTAGCAATATTCAATCTACTACAGGATGCAGTTCTGAAGTAAGGTTTTATCCACATAATTTTCAATAACATAATTTATCACCACAATCCACAGACCAAGAAGAGCCACCATCCAAATGTTAGTTTATATAAGGTAACCAAAAAGTTATCATGAATGTACAAAAGAATTGTAGATACATGTGACCTGATCAGTCTAATGCTTTGCAGCTGTAAGGTTTTTGAAGAAATTACTGTTCATTTTCAAAAGTTTTTATTATCTGAATAAATGTAGAACTTTGCCATGATTACAAAAGCATAGTATGCAGATGTATCTGCCCATCAATACTTTAAGCCTCAGCTGACACCAACTTTGTATTCATAATTAATGTATCATAACTTCACAAAGTAGAAAATAACAATGCTTTCCTCTGAATTGTTATGTATCCAAAAGAAAAAGATAAATAAGAATTTATCTTACAGGAGGCTTCCTAACTCACATTTCAAGAAATCTAGAGTCCTTGTACCTCAGAGATTAAAAAATATAAAGGCCAAAAGACCACCCCAAACCCTTCTTTTGCATAACTTTAGCAAAGATATGAGAGGTATGGGCACTAGTTTAAAAGAAAACCCCCAAACCCACAAACATTGAGCCTTGATTCTTGTTAATATCATTACAGTTATATTTCACAACTGTAGCAAGAAGAGGAAAATTACTACGAATTAACAACAACAATTCCTATATTTAATGTTATTTAAAAATCAAAGTGTTACCTAAGGCAATTACCTTGCAGCCTTTTAATATCTACAGGGAAAAGCCTAAGGGAAAATAATTGACTTTGCTAATTTTACCCTTGGCAATTATAAAATAGCTCTGCATTTCATTACGACTACAGAATTTCATGTCTAATTGTCAGCCCCGAGAGAAGCACAGAGATAAATGCATCATACACAAGCTCAGACGAGTTTAACAGCACAATAAAATTATCTTGGTAGCAGTGAGTTCAGTTAATGTTAAAACCCATTTTAATTTAAATTCTGGTCTATGCATGTCTATGGAGGTTATAGCACACCATGGTCACTGCCATGTACGATACGATGCTGCTCATTTCATTAGCCAATTTGCTAAATGCCAGCAAAAAAAGCAGTACTGTGATTTTTACCTTTTACATCACAGAACACAAAACATTATGAAGGAAAGAAGTCACAGTTATTTCACACTGCTAAAAAACAGATGCCAGATTCGAAAATTCATCATTTACAAAAGAATAAATACAGTATGTTTAAATCATTGCACCTGTCAAGAGATTTCTATAGCTTGTACTTCAATTTTTCTTACTTTGCTAGTAGGGTTAGACACATGAAAAAGAATCATTTACTAAGTCAATCAGTTTCCATAATGGGATCCCACTTATCGTATGTAGAAGCTACGAAAGTATTTAGATGTCAGAAAAATGAAAAAAAGTGCTAAAATGTTTTGGCAGAATTTTCCAACATGCAGTATAATGACTGCTTTTAAAAAAAAAATTATTTCTTGTGCTTCATTTCACTGTAGGCTTGCTTCCTGGTAAGTCTTCAGGGATAATACATTCCTGCAGCAGTACTCACTGATGTACTAAATGCAAAGTAATAGGTGTTATGTTTTATAAAAGTTTCCTCTTATGTTGAAACAAAAAATTGATGTAGGGTTAAATCCTTTGGTCTCTCTTGACAATCTTACAAAGTACTAAAAAAAATGAATTTATACAAATCAATAATAATTAGTAAAATCAACTGCACCCCTTTTTGGTTATGGTACGCACTATTTAAAACTATTTTTTTTAGTTCTTACTACCAGTTGTCACCATAATGGCTTAACCCACTATTCCAGTAGACTGACATCTAATTTTCTGTCTCTTCTCTTGACTCTCAGCTCTGTGTTAGAAAACGACACCACTTCTGAGAGAAACTGTCACACTCATGATCAAAGGAGTGCAGAAATACTCAACTACCACCATGAGGAGACTTAGCATAAGAATCTAAAAAAAACAGATTCCTTAAACTCATGATTACAACTATGCTGATTATTGACAGTTGCACAGGACAAACATTTATTTTACATTATGATATGGCAGCAATCTTCAAATGTATAAAAAGTACCTCTGCAAAAAAGTACTGTTTCCTGTTTCTACCGGAATGGCACACAAAAGTCTTCAACCATGCATGTTAGTCTAGCCACATTAGACTGGTACAGGGATGCCCAGGATTCTCTCCACCATGGGAGGTTTTAAGAACAAGCTAGACAAATGCATGTCAAGAATGCTTTGGAGTAGCTGATCATACCTGGCAAAAAGAAGAACTGACTAGAGAGATGATCTCTTAATGTCTCCATCAGTCTCATTTTCTAAGATAATACATATATACAATTTGTTTCTCATTAAAAACATCTCCCTGTAAAGTTTCAAACAGTTTGTATGAGCAACTGGATTGCAGCTGTCCTGTAGAAGCCAGTACATATATAGCAATAGGGTAGTCCAATATGCAGGGACATCCAAATGCCTAACAAAGTAATTTTATTAAGAGCAAAAAGTCACCTGAGACACAGCAATAAGGCCTTTTCCCCCAAGAATTCTCTAAGACAGCAAACCTTTCACAAAGCACAAGGTAAAAGAAAATAACAGACCAAACATGTCTTCAGCTGGCAGTTTGCCAGTGGCATTGTAGCCTGACATGTCATAAAGATGCCACTGCATGTATCTTCAATTCACCCAAGTAACCACTCACCCATTACTACAGTGCTTCAGAATGTGTACTAAAGATATCACCACAGTAATTCCATAGGAGAGCGGTAAACATGCTCACAGCAGCAGCAGCCTGTCAGTACATCCACAGCGATATTGTAAGTATGCTGATTTTTAAATGATGCTCCATACATACATACAAAACTGCTGATTTTTTGGAAGGGCCTCTCTTTCAAAAGATTCACTCATAGTTAGTTACTTGCTCTGGCAGTAAAATCTTTTTCTTTTTACCTTGGTGTTCTGCAACTGCGCAAGGCTCGTGCAAGCATTTGCTAGGAGAAAATCTCCACTCAAAACAGCCATTTTATTTCCAAACTGCATATCCTTCAGTGGGCCGTCACAGGACTTGAGCTCACCAATGTTTACTATACCACGATGCACCAGAAAAGCAGTGTGGATCAGCTCCGTAATCTCAGCCAGACTTCTTTGACTGAAAGAAAGAAAGAAAAAGGACAATTATTTTGATGCTATGAATAGAGATTCTTAAAAAAAATGGACAACCAGCCATATGTACTAAACAGATATTTTATGAATTATTGTGTAGCTCTTCTATGTACTGCTAGAAGCCACAACTGGGAGGTGTTAAGCATAGAGAACTGTCACTAAGTACTTCCAGGTAAGCAGCTACCCTTTGTTTGAATTCTAAAGCAAAATAATCCATACAGTCCTCATGGTGCTTTCTTCTTTTGTTTTGTCTACCAGAAGCTTGAGGGACACTGACATGAAGAAAATGCCAAGCAGAAAGTACTGATGGGAAGGAACAAAGGATGTATCAGCAGGGGAACTGCAAGCAAGCCAATATGAACACCATAAGAATGCTGCAGTCAATGACTGCTCAAATTAGCGTTTAATTAATAATAGGATACCTTGCAGTTCAATACGACCAAGGGGGAAGAGTGCAGGCAGAAGAAAAACAGTTGAACGTTTTAGAACTGTGTACTAATGATTTTTCACTGATTGTTTCAGTCAAAAGCAGCTAAAGCAACTGTCCAGCAAATCCCTGTGAGAGGTTTTCCACAGAGCTTATTCCATAGAGGCTTGCCCTCTATTTTGATTTTTTTGGAAAAGACAGAGTCATTAGCACAGCCCTCTCCTCCCACAGTCCAACCCTGTAGCCCCAGACAGTTAGTGACTGTCACTCCAAGGAGCCCAGAGATGTGACCTTAGCTCAGAACTACAATGAGGTGTTGAACTGACATAACCAAGCAGGGACAAGGAGAGAGGGGAACAGAGCCATGCACTGGAGCATCCTTTTAACACTGCAAACCTAGATACACACGGGACCCCCCCCCCTTATGAAATCTGCAGCATATTCACATCTTTTCTGACTCAAGCAGTTCCCTTTATGCCATGGAGACTTCACATATGAGCAAAACCACAATCCAGGCCCTCAACTAAACAGATGACTAAAGGCAGTTCCAAATAATTACAACATAGAACAAAGGCATGTTATGCTTCCTGTGCTTATTCAAAAGTGGCCTAGCGCTGATTCACTGAGTAACCAAACTGCTCCTAACCTTCACATATGCATATACCTGCTGATACACGCTCAGGTTAGATTCTGCCTCAGTACTAACATAATACTGAGTAAATTATTTCTCTTTCCTCTGGACAGTGCAGATGTGTTGCAACTGCCCCACACCATATTAATCTAAAGTAACCTTCTGCCCCAGATATATGTGACCTGTGAAGAGCCCCAGCAGCAACTGTTTCAGGCCAGCGATCTGTGCCAATTAGCAAGAGAGAAGAGCCAGGAGAGTCACATGGCCTGGGCAGGCATGCAAAACGCAGATGAGCTTGGGGGAGAGGATAAATAGAGGTTCCCGATGTATTTTGTCATGCACAAAAAAACTAAGCTGTTTTCAAAGCTGCCTGTATAATTCACAATTTTTGGCTCCACGGAAAGAAAAAGAATCCAAAAACCAAACAGCTAGCCATTCTCCATGTAGACAATAAAACCGAAGGTTGATGCTGCTTTTCAAAGAGGTGAGGGAGAAACTCACATAACCCAGCTGCAGTATTGTAATCACACTTGCCTCAGCTCTAACAAAGGGTTAATAAAATTTCAAGCTCCAAGAAAATGACTAACAAGACATCCTGATGCTCCTGCTGTCATTGTCGGGGCAGCCCTTGGAGGATATGTCCATATCAATTCGGTTTATCAGATGGACAGCTGATCAACATTAAACAGACTTGCTCTGGGCAGATTGAGCCGAGCTACCTGTTACGAATAGCAATGAGAGCCCTCTGCTCCCTGCTGCCGAGCTCTGCCATTTCCGACTGCCGTAGATCCCAGGACATATGGGGATCCCTAGTGACGAGCACATAAAGCTGCAGCTAACTCAAGCGACGGCTCATTTCCCCCAGCTGAAAGCAGGCATTAATATCCTGAGGAGACCAGGCCTGCCTCTGTGACCCCCAACTATTGAAGCAAAACAACGACTGTCCTATTTCTTCGTTTAATAAGCTTTTAATGAAGGAAATAAAAATCCCCTCTTTGACTTCGGCATCGCTCTTCATGAAAAGGTTACACAAATACATCACCGTCATGCTTTCCAAATGCTCAGGATCTGGATGTTTTCATTTCTTTTTATATAATTCGTTTGTTCTCCAAGAGGTATTCATATTATTTATGCTAACAAGAACCATATTACACAAATAATCTGTGCCTAATTCTGATCTTACAAACTGCTCTTCCACCCTCTCTCCCTAGCAAACTAAAAATACAAGAATCAAAGCTATTGCAGAAATCCCAGGCAATGTATTTCTGAATGCTTTTTGTGATAATTTCCATAACACCCAGGCAGAATAAGAAGTCAATGGGGCTGCTGTGGATACAGGAGGATCCCTGACACAACTTTGTAAAGGCCAGTATCCAAAAAATAAACACCGCTATTACGAAGTTGCTATTGAATGGGTAAAGCAATACTATATACAGCTTTCTCGATCCAGAGTACAATTCAGTGACTAAATAATTTCATATTTGAAAGCAGCCAATCCTAAAATACAAAAAAAATAATGTTTATGCAATGCTGGACTTAGAAACAGGGCGATGAGATTACAAACTCTGACTGCTTCCATCCTGTTCCCACTCCAGAGCCCACATTCACACAAGAAGTGGCTGCCACAAGAATTACCTACATAGCAAAGGAGGACTGACAAAATAGTCAACATTTTTAAACACACAAAATTCCTAAATGGAAGCAGGTTAAGAATCAGGAAAACTTTTTCACCAAATGCTAACACACTTCCACGCCTTTCACCTCTGAAGCAAGAAGGCCCTGCAAACCACCACCAAATGCCCCAGAGACTCCACTTTCAGGCATCAAGTTTCAAGAGATGATACTATTTTGAGCTCCACACACGACTTAACCTGCTTTTCTTTCTCCCCCTTTCAAAAATCAACCAACATGCAGAAATACACAAAGAAATGGTTGTTCCAAAGAGAATGGTACCTGGGGGACCTTACTAAGAAATTTTGATGGGTCACAGTCTGGCTATCATGGTTTAACACATGCTTCTGACTCCTTGTTCCTGCATTTTCAGTACCAGCGTACCTAATCTAAAGCTCTGTTAAATGCTTGCTGTAAAGTATCCCTTATATTATGGGCTCCTCAAGCTGTAAATGGCATTCTGGAAAGACAAAGGAAAAACTAACTCCACAAGTAATGAAAAAACCCTTCAGCAAGGTCCTCTGAAGCTATATTGACTGTAGGACTGTGAAACACCAGCTTGCAGGAAAACACTAGAAAAACAAAAATTAAGTTATATGAACAATTAGATCCTGCAACAAAAAAAACAAGTGCGATTTCTATTCCCTCTCTTTGCTCCCACCCCACAATGAAAGCACATAGATCACTGACATTTAAGTATATTTTGGTGAACTTTGATAAAGTTCTGAGCAGACTTTAAGAAATCTTTTATATTGGCCCACATAAACTAATGCAGTAGCTGCAACAACCTGCTACTGTGACACCAAAGTAAGGAATATAGGTTTTGTAGAAACCTCACATTCATACAACACCACACCTAGAGAGAAAAATAAAGAACTAATGGAGAAACTTTGTAAATATGCTTCTATCTCAAAAAAAAATGCATTTCACAGTTTTGTTCTGGATTAAAATTTCCAATCTGTGGGCCTTGCAGTCTGCCTCATCACAGTATCACTGTAATGGTCTTATAGTGATGAACATCTCATGCAGAATTCACACAAATGTCAAAGCCTACAAAAAATGTATGCAGGATAAAGGGGATTGGCAAAATAGTGAAACAAAATTCTGTGGCAACAAAATAGGTTTTGATTGTAAATTTCCTATGTAACTTCTAAAAATTTTGCAGTGTTTCTTCCTGGCATCCTGAATACGTTCTTTGTTGTTTGCATTACCTTTAAAGACCTGCGGCTATGAAACACTAACCAGTACAATCTCTGCAAGAGTTCTTATAAGTGACTTCAATTCCTAATTTCAGGTCCTACTCTAAAAAGAAATAATAGCATTTTGTAAAATGTGATAAAACAGAAATATTAAATAGTGCATTTGTATTGCTGTAAACGAAAGAGAACTTCAGCTTAAATACTCCTCTGAAATATTTGTGATGGAAATTCAAGTTCTCAGTAACATCAAGAAAACTTGAGTCAGTTTACCTTTCATTATCAGCCAACTGTCAGAACTACACTGGGCCTCTCAAAGGATGACAGGTTACACAAAGAAGCATTTAATAATTAAAAATGTTATTACTAGGCATAATATTTCAGAGAAATGGGTCAAAGACTTAAATTAGCCACTAAAAACCACATTCAAAAATTTTTGAAGTAACTGCAATGAACAAAGATAATGGAACTGATAGATCAAAAATTCTTTAAGAACTTTTATCATCAAACCTTTGAATTAAAGTGACTAACAGTACACACCCAAGATTTGAACGTTTTCTTTGTGATTGTCAATTCAATAGTTTCTCTTCAATACACAAAGGATTAATTCGGATGAAAAGCCTTACATTTGGGATTTAAAAAAAAAATAAAATTAAAACTACCAACATCCATTCCATTTCAGTGACAAGTATAATAATCTCCATATACACACCTATGAATCTGAAAAAAAAGAAATAGTTCTTTAGTAGAAATTACATATGAAAACACATTAACTAAAGAATTAAAGTAATAATCTCAGGTACTAACAATGTATTTGGGCAGAACTCCCTGTCCAATTTTACTTGTTTTTTTTAAAAATTAACAGAACAAAAAATTTTATAAAGACAAGAAGGTGCACACACTACATTCAATTTGATCTTGTATGTTCTGGATACTATCTGGTGCTGCACCAAGATAGCCCACTTAGTTACAGAGCAAGAAAGGGCAGTGACTTTTACAATTCTTTTTCCCATTCACCTCTCAAAGTCTATGCCATGGTTACTAAACCACGATTAGAGGAA